CTAAATAACACATTTTTCAACCCATAAGCATTACCTCCAGGAGCAGAAGCTGGTCTCAATTCCTCTGCACTGTACAAGATAAATATTTTATAAATGAATAATAAACCCGGCAAATTTTACCTTCAACATTTTAAATGATTACTATGAAAAAATGTGACTAAACACAAAAGCTTAGAACTAATTAAAAGGTGTGCAGCCATGTCCCCTTAAGAAACATTATCTGTCATCCAACCCCATATGTCTCCAAGACAAGGCAGAAACAGCAAGACTGCTAAACTGAAATCAGCAGGCAAAAAAGACATAACTGAGTGCAATCAGCATAAATGGTGATAACTCAACCCATAACAGAGAAAAATAAAAGCGAAGGCATACAGATTTTGAAGAGCATCAGCCCTAAGGGACACCATAACGCACCTGTGTTAATAAGTTAGAGAAAAAAAGATGTACTTAAATTGACTACCACCTGATAGCTAAGAAGCAAGTTAAGAATGTGCGGTTTTCAGAGAGCAAAAGGGTAAAGCTGCTTGTAACATGCAGGATTCCAGTTGGTCCTGGCCTTAGTGGAACAGCACTGTCTTTCTTGTAAGGAGGTGAAACAGGGTTTCATGAAAACCACAGATTCTGCAGAGTCAGTAAAATATTTCCTCCATTAAGAATCAGTATCCACTGGGTTGACTGCAGTAGATTCAGCAAAGTTTCAAAGCCTCAGTAAAGAACAGTCACTCCTTTCTCTGGTGACCTCTGCAAAATTGCTCAAACAGAGATAAAACAAAACAGACCAAAACCCTTTTCTAGTGTAAACTGGTGCAGTTCAGTACAATGGAATTTTGAGCTACAACAGCTTTGCTGAAATGTTTTAAAGATTTCGGGATAATCAAGCAACTTGAGTTAAACTGCAGAAAATTTATAAATAATCACAGCACTTCGCAGTCAGAGTGACAGACACTGCATCCATGCTTGGTGCCTTATGTAGCTATTCCTACCTGATGGTAACTGCTACCAACTAAGGAGTTTCCAAACACTAAATTCTGATTATCTATTCTGGTGTGCAAAGGTGCTGATCCATTAAAAATCAAACCAATAATCTTGCATTTATTAAAATGTTACCTTTGTCATGCCACCATCAGGAAAAGTATGTATGAAATGTTTTAAAGTCACAATAAGAGTAGCAATGATACTATTTGTTTTTGTAGCCTCAACATAATTCTGACATAACTATAGTCAAGATAAATCATCTAAAGGATGGTCTAAATTGAAGAGTGTCAGGATTAAAGCACAGGCACAGTCCCAAATAAAGCTACATCTGCCATCATATATCATTTTTGCAATTAGATAGCTAATTGAACTTACTCAAGAGCCAAGTTATTGAAACTCCAAAACATTATTGGAAAAGCAAAAGTAATGAACATAATAAATACCTTGCCTGTACACTTTTGGGACAAAAGATTTTACATTTTTATAATTTTTTTTTTTAAATTAAAGAGATCACTTTTATTATTTTTTGCTGGATTAAAAATTTATTTCATAATTGCAGAAGAATTTTTGAAGACCGAAATTCTCCAGCAAACCATAGAATACCAACTGTGCTGACAGTGATGGTAAAATACCTGAAAAGCCCATCTATAATGGAGTACAAAAATCTTTCTTTGACTACCACAATAGCAACGAAGTCTCTTTTCAGAGCCATTGTGCATATATGTAAACTTCCCTGAATGAAAAGAACAGAGCAGTACTCATGCATTTCTAAGACACTTTTAGCGTTATCTCACAAAAAAAAAAATATCTCTAGATTGTAATCTTTCTCTGCTACTGGTTGCAGTCAGATTGCATTGAAGAAATTTTTATAATTTGAAATGGGTTAGAAAAAAGATAGAGCATCAGAAGATGAAACAATCCTGCTCAAGAAACAGCCCTGCACTTTGCTTTGCAAAACAATGAAATAGACGAAGAGCCAAAAGTGGAAGTATAAATAATTTCTGTCACTGATCTCTGCTCTAACATTTGATTTGATTGCTGATATATTTATTCTTTGCTATTAATATGGAAGAATATCTAATCCCTATTTTTTACATCACAATTTAAATGCTCAATTTTAAAACTTCCTTTTCTGCCAGAAGTACATTCACAAAACATACAGACACTAAGTAACCAGTTAATTATTCCCAATGCAAATATTAAATATTGAAAAAGATAACTGGCTACAAAGATCGTGATAAAACTCAGGAAAATATATATTTAAAAGTTTGATTGAAATAAAAGATGCTTAATAGAAATTAAAATCTCGTTTTGTTTTTAAAAAATCTATTCATGTCACTAAACATTACGAATGTTGATAAGTAATGATGAAACTCTGGTCAAATCTGTCTTCAGTTTGAGACAGCTCTTTATTTTCACATCACAATTCTCACAAAACTCTGCTGCTCTCTATAACTGGAGAGTGTTGCTTGTTAAAAAGCACATGGTAAAAAGGCCAAAACCTCCTCCATTATCTACTTTTAAGTCTCTTTTTGGATCTCACCCAGGTCACGGCTTCTGTAAAATATTAGAAAACACTTAGGCAGCCAATGTACTGTATCTACTGCCTCTCCTAATGCACTCTTCTGTCATTCACCTGCTCCTGCTTATTCTGGTCAAGGTAGCTGCTGGGACACAGGCTCTTGTGAGCAGGAATCACCGTTTTGCCACACACTTCTCATTGTGTTCCCATCCTCATGCTTCGATGTAGGGTGGTCACTAGGAACAACAAATTCTGCATATTTCTGGCTGAGAGAAAAGGAAGGGAGAGGAAAGACTGTCGGACTTTATTTTGGAAGTGTGTGTCACTATGTTGAATGTCATCAATATAAGAACTTAATTGACAGAAATTCTTCTGTCAATTGATTGATCAAGATTGATTTGACAATAACAAAGATTTACAAAGACATCAGTTCCACATACAATTAAACCACTGCCAAGACCTCTAAAATATAAAAAGATAACCTTGCTGAAGAGAAATAATCTTCTACACACCTTTGCAATTGCTCTTAGCTGAACTGCTTTTCATTTTAATTTTATTTTTTTTCCTTGTTCATTATTTTAGTTGTAAGTTATTATCAGTCAAACTGCATAAAAACGTGGCAAGGTTATCAGAATACCTGAAAAGTATTAGAATATCAGAAGGGTGTCATGGATAATGAAAGCAGATAGGGAACAGAATGTTTTCAATGTTTTGAACAAGACGTTGTCTTTGGAAGGCCTGAGTTACTCAGATCTGAACACCGCCAAATGCTGCTGGGAGTTACCTGTAATAGCTTAGTCTAGGCCCATTTCTAGATAGTCGAGTTATTCGGGGTGACAAGATTTACAGACACAGCTTCTCAGCGTGAACAGCATGCATGGAAAAATGTATGCTAAGGTGAAGGTTTTCTGCAAAACTTACTCATTGTCACATGGACTAGTTGTTGACAGGGGAGTTCAATTGCATATGAGGTTTGCAGTACAGCTATTAAAATACTGCACAACATTAGATTAATGTAGAGATTTGTGTGTGAGGAAACCAACTGCCACCTGTGGCTTCTGCATCACTGCTATTGTTCTTCATGAGCTTTGAGCTCCACTTAGGTCATCCTGTTCATCTACTCACTATTGGAGTAATCGAACACAGGAGAGTACAGAAATCATCCCAGACATCCCCCTGCAAAAAATAGAAAAGGAGCTTGTCCAGTTTTTCAAATGCTAAATGAGGAATTTGAGTGAAAAAAAATGTTTTCACTGGCACAGAGGGCAGTGCAATATTTAGCACATACGACAATCCCAAAATTCCATAGTATTCCATAAAGAGTATTAAAAATAATTACTAATGTATAAAATCTTACTATATTTTTATATTAATTATTTTTCTTGACTTTCTGATTTTAATATGATTAAAATTTTCTAAATCTTTTACCTAAGTAGAACAAATATAGTAGAACATACACTATTCCGTGGAACATATGTGGAAATTTGAAATTCTGAAACAAAAATCCTCTTAGTGAAATACTGAAAACAGATCATGATGTTGATGTAATTTAATGGTATTCTAGAACTTATTCATGTTAGATTTTACTTTAATGCATCAGATATTAACTGAAAAGTATAAGTACCTAATATTAAAATGTAATAAAATTGTTTCCGCAATCATACAACAAATCTTGACTGTTACAAATTAGACAACAAAGTCTGCAAGAATATGCTGCACTACAGCTGCATCAGCAATGTAACTTCTTTTGCAAGGAGTAAGTCTGAAGAAATATTTCACTTAAGTCTTTTAAAAACCCTTCAAAAATGCCATCTGGTTATGGCCATTAATTATGGGAAGAGATTGAAAGGAGTGGCTTTACAGAAATATAAATAAGATATTGTAGCACAAGACAAAAAGACCAAGAACATTCCAGCTCTACTGCATAGTAGTTATTTTCCCTAGTAAATATATTTTTCTGGGGAACAAGACATAAAATGAGAAACCACACATCGTCGGAAAGCATGTTTAAATCTCATATCCCCATAATGTTTCTTTTTTACAAATAAGGGAAAATCACCATATAACTGAGTTAGGAAGGTATAATACTTCTAAAAAATAGTCTCCTTCTAAAGAAATTAAATACCAATGCAGTGAAAATGACAACACTGTTTACCACGGAAATAATATTTGCACAAAACAGGACACAATAACATCTTCTAAAACAACTAAGCAGCAATAGCAATGCCACTCTGTGTTTCAAATATTTATATTCAATGTATTTATAATAATCTTCTCAAAGGTTTGTGAGAAATAAATCTAATCTCCCCCTCTTTTTTCAATCTATGCATGGTATATGTGCTAACTTACTGAATTCATCCTTCATGCAATTCCAGTTTATTAAAGAGGTTAAAAATTTATAAAACTCTGATGGGATATGGTTTTAATGCTTCATCACACTACCCATCATTTGCTTTTCAATCTAGATCAGAATGATCTTTCCGACTTCCCTGCAATCACCTACCTGCACAGCTAATATTTTCTGAGCGTTCTCCTGAGAGGCTGCCTGGATCCTCGCCAGCCCAGCGTGGCTGGAGAGGCCGCTCCGGCTCCACCACGCCGCCAGTGAGTCCCTGCTCCACCGCCTCTGTAGCGCCTGCAGCTGGGACAGCAACGCCAACAGCCACGCCAACGCCAAAAGCGGCAACGCCAACACCAATGGCCATGGCAACAGCAATGGGGGGGCTGGGGCAGGAGGAAAAGGCAAGAAGGTGGGGGGAGGAAGGAGGGGAAATAAAAAAACAGGAAAAAAATTAAATTCCCAAGTCAGAGCAGGAGAGGAAATTAATGGCAGCGTTCAAGAAGAATGATGGAGGGAAATATAGAAAGCAGTCAATAGCCCATTCTGCGCTGTACGGACCTGACAGGAATTTCACAGTCTCTTGGTTTTTCAGCCCACTCATGTGCACTCATCAGAAACCAGTCACATCTGGCTGCCAGGATGGGGGGTTAATTTTCTCTAAATGCCTCAGCAGTTTTGTTCTAGCTGAGGCAAACTCTGTGACTGCAAAGCTGATGAGTAAAATATTTCTACTTCACCCAGTTTAACTCAAAACCGATAGCCTCGGGACATATTGAACCTTTCTTAAAAAAATAATCTTTCGAAGCTTTTTAAATGGCACATCAGGTCAGGCCAAAGTTTAAAATGCAAGTTTAAGACTTTGATGGACACAAGGGCTTTTTTTTTCCTGTATAAAGCTTATCATAGCTTGGCAATGTGTGCTTTAGTGCATGACAAAACTAAAGAGAATTAACTTAGCCATCAACTGCTCAGGGAGAACAATAACAGGAAAGAAATTTCCATATAGAAGTTCCTATTAATCTACCCGGCTATAACCACATGACAAGAAAGCATCTAACAGCACTAAATTGCATCAAATGTGGTAGCTGAGAGTGACACTACTTAAAAAAAGGATTTTTATATATCACAGAAAAGATAACATTTATCCTAGAAATTGCATTCACTGCAAAGGATCCTAACTGAAATTATTCCAAGTGGGAGCACTTACCTGATAGTCTTTTGCTATTTGCTAACAGTAATTATTCTTACAATCCATGGTTAAGAATAATATCAGTTTTTCCTTAATCTACAAGTATTTGGAACTCATAAACACAGTGTGGCAGGTCTTGGTCTGAAGGAAGCTGTTTAAAGAGATCTGAAAATCTACCAACACCGAATGTTTTTGAAAAGAGCGATGTTTTTTGGCAAATTCTGCAAATACTGCCGCATACTTTAGTCTAGTTGTAATGTAGAAAATGGAAATTTAAAACACCTAATTCATTGCTTAGTGGAAATATACGGGTTTGTCTTTCATCAAGTTAATTATTTCGATAAATTCTATAGCTATTGTTAGCATGAAGCCTTCAAGAGTATGCCTGTCACCCAGATTAACACAATGGATTGTACCATTCCTTCGGAAATATTACATTTCATTAAGGTCAATGCCACAGGTCAATAATTGGATCAGTTATAAAGAAGCTTTTACATGATAAGATATGACTGCTCTTTAGGAGCAAGCGCAGTGTACCAGGTGAAAAATACACTTTTTCAAGAGAATGTAGATTATAGTAATATCAAGTGAGCTATTACAGCCTAGAGAATAATTAATGCACATTTTCAAAATTAATGGCCTGATTTTCGGAAATACTGAGTTTCCACAAGTCCCATTAGATTCCATGGAAGCTGTGAGTATGCTGCATCTTTGTAAATGAGTCTGTAAAATATTAAAACAGGTCTTTGTACATAATATTTTGTGTTCTGTCAATGTATATTAGGGATATACAATGAGGGAAGGTAGAAAAACTCAATGGAAAAATAAAAAATTATCAACTCAAATATTATGTTTTCCAGCGTGAAGAAACTTTTCTAAGTGCCAGAGCTCCTTTCCTCCTATTTTAACAATTATTTTGTTTCCTGAAATCTGTCTTTTTCTGCTTGCCTTCTGTTAATTCAACTCTTTTCAAATATCACTTTTTTGATACCATTCTGGGGTCTGAAAAAGAACGCAGGTGAAAGAAGGGCAAAGCATAGCAACCTAGGACATTTTAGTAAAACAACCTGCTTCAGCCCTAGAAAAACAAGTAGAAAACAATTTTTGGATTATCAAAACACCGTTTTTTGTAAAAAGCTAAAATAATTGCCAGATATGTTGTTGTGATAAGGAAAATGGTGTCTGGGGGAACATATGAAAGCATTTACCAGTGAACAGTGAAAGGGATTGGTGGTTATTCAGTTGAGTGGCTATCCAGTTTCTTGTCTTGAGAGAATCAAAGACATTCAAAAGTTTTGAGATTTGGCTATTTGAAAATTGCCATATTTATTGAGAAACTAGCAGTTTATAATGGCTGGTGTCCAGTACAGTCTTTGCTAATGTTTCTCATTTCAAAATTACAAGCTCATGAAAGCTGATACTGTTGTAAGTACCACATTTCAAAATGTATCTCATATTGCGAAAACACTTTATTGTGCCTAACATAATGAAGTCTAAACCACACATTTATTATCTTTACAATGTTAATTGCAATATAAATAACATTTATGCATACAGTCAGAAATACAGGTCTATGAGAAAGTAACAACTTGATCAAATAATGTTGCCTGCAATCTTAGAATAAAATGATGGGCACACTAACATAGGAGAGACCAAGCGAATCCCTGAGTCAACAGCAAACCCTTGGCTGAGGCAATGATTTAAAAAAAAAAAAATCACAAGTAATGTTTAGCCCAAAAAGCAGTTTTCATAGGCTTTGCCATGCTGTCCCTGTCTCTACAGACACCCATACTGATCCTGTAGATCCTCTTTGCAGTCATATAACAGACTTTTATTAGCTTTATTAGACAGTTATTAGCTTTTCGTTATCTTTTACGTTTTTTTGTCAGCTGTAGAGACCTAAGAAGGCATGGCATGTATGAGTTAAACATATGGTATTGTTGCTATCTCCTTTTTTTTCAGTGCTTTTTTTTCACTGTTTGAGAAACAAGTTGTTTCCTAAATATTTTGAACACATCAAGCCAAATGCTGGCAGAGAAGGTAACAGCACCCATCTCCAGTGTAGGAATATGAACAGCAGCCAAGTATTTACATGAGATTTACTTTGGTTTTGATGTTTACCTTGCTGTGGGAGCAGGACTGAAGGAAAAAAGGAAATCGAAAGACAAGCAAGCTCCAGATTTTGGGGATTCAAAAGGAAAGGAAATCCCGGGATCCTTGTTTCTGTTGTCCTTGAATCTGCCTTGGCTGCAGCTGATACAGGCTAATGGTAGCGGACAATTTTTGCAGCAAGTATCTTGTCCTAGTCCTCATCCTGCAAACACAGAAGCAGTGTATAAATGGCTTTGCTGGGGAGACACCTTTGGAAGTTGCTGGAGAGGACCAGTGATGTTCTCAAGGGGTTGCCCTCACCATTCTTCTGCTTTGGGGCTTCACTGTCATTTCCCTTGCGTTATGGCTCCCCTCTGTGACTCACAGCAGAGGGGGAACATATGTGACTCCGTGGTCATTTAATACCTCCTTTATATGTGGCACTATATCATCAATAATATCAGCATAAATTTGGGAAAAGGAGGTGTGAACTAGCTGACATTGCTATCTTACAAGAAAGGAACCTTATGATTTGGGGTACCTTATTCTGTTCTCAACTTTAAGTTTTTTGTTATGATACATCTAGATACTTCATTCAATTCATGCCCGACTTGCAGTAATATGATTCAAATCAAGCTAATATCTTAATCTGTAATTTCTTATTTGAGGGATCAAACTGGATTAAAAAACATACGATACTATTTGAAACTGAGACCCATTCATTATTCCAGCAGCATTGTTTCTAGGCCCTCACACTAGGGCCTAGAAATTGATTCTATCACTATATTTGGATTCCCTATACTGCAAAAAAAGTTAAACTGAAAGAAAATGCCACGTAAGTAACTGCATCTTATTTAGATCAGAACACTTTTTACTTTTGTTGTCTGGCAGTTCATAAGAACCCAAAATTTTCCCCTGCTTATCTTTTATTAGAGTCTAGCTGCATTGGGCTAGACCAACACAGATTGCAGACAAATTTCACAATGAACCCAAAACTAGGGTCATTTACTTGTTTAAATGTCAAATGGCATGTGGCCCCATTAAGAACACAAAGTGAACAGCATCTGGAACTCAGTCCTGATGCTTTTTCTCTGTCAATAACATACTACTTGAACTACTTCTATTGCCAGTTTTAGCCAGCATCATGCTAGCATCATATTGGGTTATGATAGAAACCTAATTCTCTTCTTAGCTGTCTTTAAATTGTGAGACCCAATTGATCTCGATACAACTGTTCCTCCTTTACACCTGAGAATGCAAAGACCCTCTATGAATGTTATTTTTTAAAACAAAATTATAATTATTCATAATCACAGAATATGCTGAGTTGGAAGGACCCACAAGGATCATTGAATCCAACTCCTGGCCCTGCACAGGACCATCACCAAGAGTCACACCATGTGCCTGAGAGTATTGTCCAAATACTTCTTGAACTCTGTCAGGCTTGGTGCTGTGACCACTTCCCTGGGGAACCTGTTCCAGTGCCCAATCACCCTCTGGGTAAAGAACCTTCTTCTAATATCCAACCTAAACCTGCCCTGACACAACTTCAGGTCATTTCCTCATGTCCTGTCATTGGTCACCACAGAGAAGAGATCAGTGCCTGCCCCTCCTCTCCCCGTCATGTGTCCTGCATTTAGAGTACATACTTACATCTAAAGCGTCTGGTCCGTTAAAATTGCAAGATTCTCGATCACATAGAAGATAATAGATATTAATATAGGCAAAATTATTGTTCTGGTTGTCTCAAAAGATTCTCTTTAAATTTTGTCAAACTTTAAGTATTAGATCTAAAAATGTGCATGGTAGGTGTTTGCCTCAGTCTGAATTCTTTTGGATAGCCCAGTCGGTTTGCTTTTTTTCTCAGGTATTCTGGGCAAAATACATTATTCTGCTCCTGTTACCAAATTATACTGGTATTCCCTTTACTAGATGAAGTATGCAAAGAGAACTCACATTTCAAAGGGGACAGTATTTTTGTATGTAAGATGACTTTTTCGTAAAAATATTCTGGTGAAAACTGTAAGTATTCAGAAAAACTATTGACTGCATAGCCACTAGTAAATGTTTCCATTTTTATCAACCAAATTTTTTTTAAATATTGTCCTCTCTAAACTTCCTTGACCCTCTCAGTGGTCCTACAGTAAGAGTGAGTAAGAATGTTTATCGCTATATAACACTACCATATACATAAATCATCTTCACAAAGTGGTTTGGTGTACATAAGATCAGGAATACAGTTGATTTTTGAAAGTTGATTTTTCTCTATAATGTCTGTTATTTTGCTTCAGGATGAAATTCATCACTGACAGCAACATGTCTATCTGTGTACCACCATGAATATCCATCTATTGGTGCTCAGCAAACACAGAGAAACAAATCTTTGTAAAAACTGGATGGTTTATTTGGATCAAACCGTGAAGTCTGTGTTAAGGATGCCAACTTGTGATTAAGAAATTCAATTGTTAATGAAATTGATGTAGTTCTAACTGTCAGAGTCTTATCCAGGCTTTCCTATGCTAGGATACAGTAACATCAAACAAGAAGATTCCAACCTAGACCATAAAATATCATTTGCCAGCGCAATAATATTTTACCAGAAAAAAAATAATTTTGTGAGTTTTCTTTCAAGTACCAATAGAAATTTCCTTTACCTTTCCTGAAGTTTCCTTCAGAAATAGCCTGAAAAGTAGGAAGCAAACTCAGCCACATGGTTCAAGGAATGGGAATTTCTCTGATTATGGAGACCTTGAGATATAACTGCTCTGAAGAAAGGGTGATTCCATAATGAAAAAAATCCAAGCAAATGCAAATTGAAACATTTAAAGGAACAAGTAGCTGAAGATGATGTTGCAGCTACTAAGATATCTACTAAGAGATTACAACCATTTTTGGATATTAAAATGAAGAAATGGACTAAGCAACAGCAAGAATGGAAAAATATACGTAGCTGAGGCAGATGAGAGAAACAGATGGGCAGAGCATTTCCAAGAAGTCTCACTAGACTCAGCCCACCATCAATACCATATTTTGATGAAATATTATGAACCTGAGCCATTTAACATTAACAGTAACCAACTGAGACATCAGCAATACACATAGAAATCCAGGCTCTAAAAAATGTTTTCCCATCCCTCCTGCAAGAGAAATCATTTGCAATGGACTGTCATGCAGAATGTAAGACGATATTGAGCAGAAATCTTAGTAAACAATAGCCTGGATTCAGCTCAGGTGAACATGAATGAGCTAGAGATAGTCATAGTAAGTATTGTCATAATACATCATCAGTTCTCAAAAACACTTGGAAAGCTTATGTACATCTGCAGTCATATACCAAGCAGGAATCAGGTTCTCTCTGAAGAAGGCATAGACTGGAAGACAAAGCATGCTTTAATATCAAGGCTCTTGAATGAAATCCTGCATATCTTGACTGAAACCCTGATATCTCTGCCCCACTGTATCCCTGGCATGTTAACCAAATAATTTAAATTCAGCTTTCCAGAGGTAACTGGGAATTTTGGGCTTTGGTTTTGTGGGGTTTTTTGAGGTTCAGTTTCAGGTTTTCTAGGGGTTTTTTTTGCTTGGTTGGTTGGAGTTTTTAGGGTTTTTTGTTTGGTTTTGGGTTTGGTTTTTGGTTTTTATTTAATCTGATTTAAATCTTCGATTTCTAGAGCTGATAAGCAATGACAGATTCAACCAAAGGCAGCAGAGAGACTTGAAATCATAGTGTGCCATGAAGAAGGGTGTGTTGCTGACAATAATATATCCAGGTATAGATCTTTAGGTATCTGATTGCTATGTTAAGCAGCTAAACCATAGTTATTTTATGGTTTTGACAGTACAGGAAACTAAGATTATTTCACTGAATTGTTTTATTAAAACACAACTCTTTTACATTCAGGGACTATACCTCTTTCAACACCACTCTTGACATATAACTGATCTTCTGGTTTAAACATAAAATTCTGTAATTTTGTAGTAGTTCCTCTTGAGACATCAGTTTATTACAAGGTGTAGCAGACCAAAATGCAACCAAAAGAACAAGCTTTAACTACTAGTCACTTCTATGAGTAGTAGCCTACTATGATTTTCCAGACCTGAGCAGACTACTGGTACATATTGAACAGAGACTAATATGTCACTTCTAAATCTACACTTTCTCTATTTTCAGTGATGTTAATTCAACAGTGCACTGTGAATGCTAAATTCTGTGTAAATGATATAAGCCTTATCAGTTCCATTCATTGTTACAACTCAAACAACAGCAATTACAACAACTCTACAGATTTTGGCACTGTGAGAGTGGCAGATTTATTAGCAAAATCCAGTTAATATTTATCTTTTTATACTATTCAACTACCAAGTTACACCTGTACAATATACAAAGCTCCTAGGTAATGAGATATTTCTTTATTGTCAAATCTGCTCTACAGACTGCTGGTAAAGATTACATAGCTCATTTAAATGAAGCTCTTTTGTCAACAGACTGGATATACTTTAAAAATGAGTAAAAGCCTCATGTAAAAAACAAATCTCAGCTGATGTGCAAGTATACACAAAAAGATGTACTTGTTTTTTTGACCTTATTCCAGTCGTTAATGCTTTAGTAAGCAGATTAGCAGTATTAAATTTTAAAAAAAGAAAACTGTATTTCAAGATCCACTGAAAAACAAACTAAGAAAAGCTTGAAAAATCAATCTTCTACTAAAAATATTGGTGAATGCAGACAAAAATATTGGTTAATATAGGAAGAAAAAAAAGAAAGTGATATTATGATTTTTAACTGCTGTCAGGAAAAACTGAGGAAAATAGACAATACAGTAAGATCAGGGTATCTTTCAGCTTATTGTTGTACTCACTGAAATCTGAAAATTAAAAATGTACTTTCTATATAAGGTTTCTGAAAATATAGCCTGGAGTTTGATACTAAGTAGATTCAAAATATGTGTGATATTATTCTCTCTTCAAAGATTTCTATCCTTGCTCTTGCTACTGCTATACAAGGAAAATATATCTGTACTTATCCTCTCTTTGTATCATTTAGTAACACTTAGAATCAAATGCTGTTATTTCATCCCCAGAAGCCTGAAGCAACGAATGGAAACATCTCAAAAGGTGTAGATAATTGCACCGACCCCAAACCAAAGGCTTAATTTCTTTTTTTACCTCCAAAGCTCTGATCTGCAGAAGCCTACAACTTTTTCCAGCTTTTGTTTGGTATTT